CATTATATCGAACAATTGATGTGCCGTTAAACATATACACCAAATCTAACCATATGAAACCATAATCTACCCTTTTAATTTCTACATCAATTTTATCAATCCTAGCATTCTAAACATGAAATATATCATACTTATAACAATATCAATCCGTAAACTTAGACATAACATCATTTATAAACCGGTCTAAAAAAATGCTAATGTAACACCCTAATAAAAGTGAATGAAATTTATACCTTTATGAAGGGTTCGAAGAGTGRATTCYGMATATATAATYGTTACTTCGATTGCTTCAACGATTTGAGAAATATTTTAGAGAAAAGAAAAGAATGAAAGAGAGAGAGAGAGAGAGGGGCGGTGAGATGAAAAGAAGAAGCCGACGTTGGATTTGCTTTTTTTTTTCCTTCATATAATATATATATATATATATATATATATATAATTATTAACCGTTTAGAAGTTTGACGGTTTTAACCCCTTAATAATTACCGACCGTTATGTATGTACGGTACAATTTGGGTAAGTTAACGAGAATGTTTTTAAAACTCGAGTCTTACAAAATAGATCAAATTCCAAGATTTTATGAATTTTGATAAGAACAAAAGTTTTTCTAAAAATCCTAAATTTTCTTCAAATCTTTAATATTTATGATCAAAACACAAAATCGAAAGAATAACAATGATTCACGATGTAAAAACATACACAATGATCATCATTTTAACAATCAAACACTCCAAAATGAAAGATTTGAGAAGAATTTTATGAAAAATGTGAAGAACATTCAAGAACACTTTGATGAATCTTCAAGAAAAAACACGAATTCCAGATAAAATGTGCAACTATGTATAATTTCTTCAATCAAATTCATTGCATCAAGCTCTGATACCAATTGTGTGTCTCCAAATCTTCAATCAATCTTCAATCTTCATTCAAAAACTCTATAAATGGCAATATTTAAGATATGAACTTTGAGAGAAAAAGTCAAATGGTCAATATATGTATTATTTCACTAAAGCTCAATATTACAAGTAATGGCTCAATTAAGCTCCTCTTCTAACACTACAACACACTAATCAAGACCTATTTATAGGTCAACTCAAAATACAAAAGTCAAAGTCAAATACAAGAAATACAAAGTCAAACTTTCAAGAATGAATACAATTAATCTCTAAAATTCAATTCTAACACCATCCCCCAGTATTCCACCAACCAGCAGATGACTCAGCTTAGGGAGTCACTCGACCAAACTAGAGTAAAAATTCCTCTTTGTACCTCTAGTTATGGTGAGTTCGACTTGCTGACCGAACCTGAAAGACTCGAGGCCCTCAAGGACGAGGAAGAACTAGAACTTCAAAGAGAACAGACTGAGGACAGCTTAAAGCTGGCCAAATCTCTAGCCACCAAAGTTCTTCCAAGAAAGAAATCCAAAAAGACGGTGAATGCTATCCAGGCCCAAGCTAAGCTTCTCTCTATTGCAGAAGCTGAACGCGAAAAGAATCTGAAGCTGGTCGAACGAGACAGACGCTAGAGCAAAGAATGCCTTCAAAAGAGAATTAGCCCTCATCCTATTTCAAACATCAGCACCAACGAGCGAATAATAGATGGTGGGTTGTTGATCTTGTTGATCCTCTCTCTCAGTAATTTGATGATAATCCCTTTTCACTTATACGTTGTATTTATGTTTCTGTATTTTCAATTCCAGCGATCTTCACTGAGTCTGTTCAGTGATCGTTGAAGAACTTGCATTGTAAATCTATCAGAGA